AAGGAGAAAACACCGGTGGGGTTTTGGCTTGCTCAAACCCCCACCAGCACCCATTTCTTGCAAAAGCAATTACCTTGAAGAGAGGGGCTGGGATCACACAACCCCCCGGCCCACTGCAGCTTCCAAGGCAGGCCGAGTTGCAGCACAGTGACTAACAGACTTGTGATGAACACGTCCCAGTAGCCTGCTGGCTCATCACCCTAAGATCACGCAAACCAGGCCAGGCATTTGTATTCTGAGCTAGGCCTACTTACGTCGATGCACTGCAATCTCGCTCTACGTACAGCTAAAACAGGACACAACTCAGCACCAGCATTTTGGATATGGATGAAGCTTGTTTAAGCTTTAAATTTTAATTAGGAAAAAGAAAGCAAGCTTGCCTCTTAACAAGCCACAAAAGAGATGTGTATTTCCTGCTAGAGACTCTCCTTTGCCATGCCAGTCATTTTATGGAGCACAAGGACTTCAGAAGTAGTCGCCCTACCACTGAGCATGGGCACAGGATGAGAAGAGGGGCAAAGCTCACCGTAAGATCACCTGTTCTGCATGTGGAGGTTCCCAGGCGCAATGCCCCATTAAAAGGCAGCATGTTGCAGGAAACTGGGGGAAAGAACCAGGCCTGCTGAGCTGGAGACAAAAGGGTTTGCTGTGGTGGGAAGGCACAAGACGCAGAGGGAACCCCAAGTTAATGCGTCACAGCAGGGGCAGCACTGCAAGGATCCTCTTAAAAAAAAAATACCGCATTGGCCAGTGATAGCAAGAAGGAATGCACGCCCGACAGAGAAATCCATAGAGGCATGAACCCACCTAATATACACAGTGGCTAAATAACAGACGTATTATTCCATCCAGACTAGGGGCAGTGGACGTACTGGCAGAGGGTGCTTGTAACCTGACACATCAGGAGATTGGGAAGGCACAGGTTGGGAAGGCTGCATGAATATGGAAAGGAAGGCTGAGGAATGCAAGCTGGGAGCACTCCAGGACTGCAAGCAAAAGCTCTCCTAGGGTGACCAGTAATCTCCTCCAGGTGAACAGGTTTATTTATGAACTATAAGCTCTTCTGGAGGTTTATCTGCAAGGCTGAAACGATTAGTCTTCCAAACATGACAACACACCACTAAGAATGCAGCTTGTGTCATCTTCTGACTATCCTTTTGTTCAAAATGCAGCAAGGTCACATCAACAATTGGAAAAAGGAGAAGGACCCGGACTTGTTTACCAGTTGCTTAGAACAATGGGCTTTGTCCTACATTTTGCTGGGCCTGGCCCTGTTCCTCTTCTTCTTTCAGGTCAACCAATTGCTGCTGCGCCACACTCTTCGGGGAGCCTTCCTGGAGCCCTGGAACTGCCACTGCTGACTGGGCCCAGCGAATCGAGCAGCTAAACCTCCACCCTTCCCCATCTTGGGCAAGATATGACTAGCACAGGAAAGTCAGAAAATACTCTGGTGTCCTTGCCATTCAGCCAGGCTTATTTGTAAGCTGCTATGGGGTAGGGAGCATACATAAATGACCCTATGATCTATGCTTGTGACTCTGCACAACCTGGAACACCACCTATCAAATTGCTCATTAGAAGCCAAGGACTCATTCAAGAAGATGGGGAGGAGGGAGAATGATTTAGTCTCTCAAGCAAAGACCCCAAAGAATTCACTACTCCTACAATTTGGAAGGCATTTCAAGTTCCTAACCTGTGCATCAGAAATGTAAGGCCACTCAGGTCACCAGGCCTCCTTAAAGGTTTATGTGGGGTTTTTAATCCCGAGTTTACTTCTGGCACATGGGCAAAACAGCCTTTTTGCCCCCAAAATATGTTTCAGAAAAAGAGCATGAAGGCTCAAATGCAACCTGTACCTCTTATAAGAGGTAAAATTAGAGTGGGAGAGGCACAGAAAGATGAGGAAAGGCCTGCTGATGTCCAGAGCAGACAACAAGCTGCCCAAGGGAGAACCAGAGCTTCCAAAAAAAAGGAGATGAAAAAGGAACCGAAATGGAAAGCACCTTTTGGAAGGGGAAACTATCACACTGCACAATTTAGTTGTGTTCTCACACCCTAAATATGATGAAAAGAGGAATAAATGTGGATAGAGGAAGGATGGAAAGCCAGTGATAACCCTTGAACTTGCTATATAGGTTTTCAGCAGATGCTGTTAATGTTTAAATGCAAGTGGCTGGTTTCTGTATAAATTGTGCCACTTGAAATCCACAAGCTAGACCAACCCTTCCCCAACCTGCCACCCTCGTTGTGCTTTGGATTATAATTCCCAGCATCTCCAGGCACCACACCCATGTGGTATACCAACTGGGAATGATGGAGGTTGGAGTTTGACTGCTGGAGGGTGGCAGATTGGGGAAGGCTGCTCTGGGTATAGATATCAGTAATACTTTCAAGATCTGTTTAATGCATCTCTGGTCTTTACTGTGTGTCCATGCATTTTTCCTATCCTCTTCTTTTTTCTGTACATCAAATAAAAACTATAAATAAAAAATGCAAGTCAACTTACTAGAAAGTTTTTTTAAACCTTGTGTATCATTACCAGTTAAAGTATACTGGTGGATTTTAATGGACAGAATATCACCATGTGTCTTTGGAGTATAAACTTTATTATTAATTAACATATGAAAAATTATACAGAGTCAAATATGACCAAACATGCATGATACAAGTTTATAATTTGATATCTGCTGATTCTACACATGCAGGCCCACCTTCATTTAAAAATTACCTTAATTTAGCAACTATTTTCTGTGCCTGGAATATTATGCCGCAATATTGTCTACATGGGACAGACAGGGATAGACACAGATGAACACAACCTCTCCAAATGGCACCCAAAGCAACCAGATTCTTCGTTTGTTCCACCCAAATCTAGCCAAGCTTCCAGAGCAAACTTCCAATTTTTGCATCTCTCACCCTTAAATTAATTCTGAAAAGCTAATACCCCACAGTGCACACAGAAGCTGAGCAATTCTCACCCGGCACTGCACAGCATTTCTGCACTTGAGGGAACCAATGCTCCTAAGCGCCCCCTCCACCAAGAACACAGTCAGCAAAATCTTTTTAGTACAAGCCGCCAATCTGCTCATTTTTCCTTTTCTCATCAAAAAACGAGGAGGCAACTGGCGTTCTTCACAGACATCGGCTGCATCCGCAATGTCCAACCGTCAGCGATTTGGGAGCTACAGTCCAACACACCTGCCTCCCCACATCTTTAAAGGATGTGCTCCTCTTCAACACCACTATTTCTTAGTCATACAAGTCACAATGGCCCCCAATACATTCTGCCCCCTCTATTCCATGCTTTTTCAACTATGTAGGTCCAAAATCCTGTTTTCCAATCCTTCTCTCTCCCACTTGCCGAGCCGGGGTTTTTTGTAAGCCCCCCCCCCCCCGTCCAGAATCCCAGCTCCAAACCCTTCCCCTCTACCACACCTTTCCCCACCCTCCTTCATTCCAACTAATGCAGCTTTTTCCCCTGCAGATGCTCCAAGAAGCAAACCACAGAGTGAGTGCATGGAGGGCGGGGATCTCCATGACAATTTTTATTTTTCTGATGGCGCATAAGGGGAGACATCACGTAGGCACCAATCGCGGCAGCCTGGGTTTGGGAAAAACAGCATGCATTCCACCAGCACCCTCCCACTGCCTTAAAAATCCCCAAAAGGGTGCAAGGAAAGGTTCGAAGGAAAGCAAGGCTAGTGTCACTGCCTGAAGAAAAAAGAGGGTATTTTTAGCGTCATCCCTCCGCCTGCCTGCGTTTGCAAAATCTAAAAATACCCAAAAGGGTACACAGGGGAGGGGTATATCTGCCTTAAAGATGTCCCCCACATTCATCCAAACCTTCCACAGCAGGGCTATTTCTAATGCTTATTCACATGAAAAAAATGGGAGGGGTGCACCTGGTTGGTTGTGTTTTCGAAGCACCTCTCTTGCTTTAATCATTTAACTTAATCATTTAACTACCAGAGCAGAGGTCATTCACAGGTGGGGCAAGGGCAATGTCCTCCCCCCACCAACACACTTTACTGCACAGTAGGATGGGGAAGAGTCTGACCCCAAGAAAACATTCCCAAATCTTATTTTTAAGATGGTGCTACTTACACAGGTTCTGGAATCCATTGCCCAGAGGTACTTTCACAGAGAGGAGCTCCCACTCCCAAGAGTAAAAGGAAATAAGGGGAAGAGAAACCATCTACAATCTAAATAATATTAGACTGCAGTATGCAAATGGATTCATTTCTAGCTTTACTGATAAAAATTGATTTTTTCCAGAATAAGTCCAGGGGCAGTATTTCCCTCCAGACATCCTGGCTTTCTCCAGATGATATGAGGAGGGAGGTCATGCATATTCGTTTATATATGGGGGGGGCAGAGAAGGATCACAAGATGACCTCATTTATTTCCCGCAACCATGCGAAAACACAAGTTAATTTCTCCTCCCGTTTATTCTGCCCGACAGTGACAAACCGAGAGATCGTCAATTTTCTAGACGCTTTCTGGGGCGGGGTGCAGAAAAGCTGGAGAGGAGATACAATACTGTAGCCGATGCATCACGACGATTCCATACATGATTCCCCTGCACTAATTTATCCCCTGAGATTTGGGTAAGAAAATGGCGATGGAGGGCAGCGTTTAAAGGAATGCCGCCCCCCCCCCCGCCGCGCATCCTGCCCTGTTTGTCCGGGCGGAGGGAGCAGCCGAGGGCGCGGCGCCCCCTTCGGTCTCCTGCAGCGCCCCGCGCCCTCGCCCCACGGCCCCGGGAGCCCTCGGGTGACACGCGCGGGCGGGCAGGGACACACGAGCAGCGGCGAGCGCGTGTCGGCGAGAGGGCCGCGCCGGCGCGCGGGCCGTTCCCTCGCCCCCCGGCCGGCCAAGCCCCCCGAGGCGAGGCGAGGCGAGGCGCCCCGCGGGCTCGCCGCACGCCGCCCCAGCCCGCGCCCAAGCCGCGCCGGGGGCGCCCGCCCGGGGACCGGCGCCTTGCACCGAGCGCTACTTACATCTCCGCGAGGGCGGGTGGGGACGCGGTCTGCGGCGGAAGGGCAGGCGGGCGGGCGGGCGGCGGCGCTGCGGCAGCTGCGGCTGGGCTCGCGCTCCCGAACGCTGCGGCTCTCTCGGCTGAGGCGGGAAGATGGCGGCCGGGCTGCTCACATCCGGGCTCTTCGGGAAGGGAGCGGGATGGGGCGGGGGCGGGGCGGAGGGGGAAGGGGCCTCGCGGCCGCCATGTTGGCGCGCTGCCTTTCTGCCCGCGACCGTCAAGGTGACGGTGACTCACGTCTTCCCCTTTCACCACACGCCCAGAACACAAAGCAAAACAAACCCAAAAGCCACCCGCGCAAAACCAGACACAAACCAAACAAAAAGCCTGGGCGGGGTGGAGGGGGAGATGGACGCAGGAAAAGACCCGCGTAACATGCACCGCTTCGGGTGGCCTTTCGCAGCCTGAGGTAAAACCGTCCCCAGCTTGGCTCCTCTTCCTCTCGGAAAGCGCCCGACTCTTCCCACACACAGCGGGGCTCCAAGACCTCCTAGCGCGACCTCTCCAAGCTGGCCCTCGCTTGGGGGGTCCTCAAAGGAGGACGAAGCAGCCCACTCAGAGGCGGGTTTAGGCCTCGGTGCGGAGGAGCCATGGCCACCTCGCACGGCAGGGACGCGAACAGCCAGGCTTCAAAAAAGGGATTTCCCTCGTCTTCCTGGGAGGCCTTCCTGAAGCAGGCCAAGGGGGGAAACAAGATGGCGGACCGCCGGCTCCATGCTCTGGGCCAATTTGGTTCTTCCTTAGGGTTGAAACCCTACTCAGCTTTAGACAGGGAAAAGTCCTACAACTCCCAGCATTCCCCAGCATGCTGGGAGTTGTAGGGCTTGTTCTTCTGCCTCAACATCCATAGGATTCTGTCTTGAAAGGCTGACAGATGCTATGATAGCTAAAGAGAACCTCCATGTCCAGAGGAATTGTACCTCCAGATGCCAATTTCTGGGGCCCAAGAATACAGAAGCATGACCCTCAGATGCAACTCAGTTAAAACTACCCTGCATGGGGCATGTGACCCTCTCCTGCTTGTATTTTGTAGCTGATAGCATTGGATATCGTATTTCATTATTTAATCATGGCTTGTTCATACAGAATATGCCTCCCACAACACCCTGTAAGATCCCAAAAGTTTGTCAAGAGCTACACTAAGTAGCTTTGAATGTGTGCCTGTAATTTTGTGTGCTGATTTATCTAGTCTGTAAAATTCTTTCTATATTGCCATTTCCTGCTATGCAAACAGGACTTGGAACTTCTGCTGCACAATGTACCAGGTGCTAAAGCCCTGAGATCATTTTTCCCCAGCTGCATTCTCAGAATCTGTTTCCCTTTCATCCAACTCAGCCTCAAAAGCAAAAAGGTGGAAAACTTGACTGTTAGTGTTTTCACCCACAGCTCCCAGCAGCCTCAGCCAGCATTGCTAATGATGAAGGATGAAGGGAGCTATAGGTCAAAACATCTGGAGGGTCAATAGTTGTCCAGGCATACTCAAATGAAAGCCCACTGCTGGTTTCTGGGGTCCTTCTGACACTTTTCTAGACTTTTGAAGAGTGCAGCTCATGCCCAGGAATGAAAGACCTTGAATTTAATCAGTGCAATTATGGGTACAGTTTGTCAATTCACCAGTTGCAGGATTTAGCCTTGGAGCCTCTGCAGGATACTTAAAAAAAGTTATATAATGCATAAGCATAATCACAGTATGCATACGAAGTTTAATGAAGGTTTTAAACATGATTTGTTTCTAGATGTAGGTTAATGCGTTGCATTGCCTAGTGTAAAACCTAGAGGGATACAGTTGGGTTACTCAGAGATATAAAGCTTATTTAGTTCATGGGACTTTGGCCTTCCTTTGTTACAAAACACTTGGATGTTGTGCAGGTGATAAACAGACTCATTCCTACAACTTGAAGTGGCTTGGCACCCTGGCAGCTTGTCAGTTTCCCCTCCTACTTTTTTAAAAGCACAGTACAGATTTCAAAACTGGGGGGGTCCTTACCTATTTTCATGTATTTTGAGGGGGGACTGAATGCATCCCCACTCCCAGAAAGTGGTGGGACTTTTGCTTCTAAGTGGAAAACTAGGAGAGGGTGCAAGGCTGGCATACCTGGGCACAGACAGAGCTCCTAGTTCCATGTCACTGCCTGCCCGAGTGCGAGCAGTAACCTTATTGAGGAAACTGAGCAAGATCAGCTGGCAATGAGAATGCCAGTTCCCTGATGGAGCAAGGACACTGCAGACCATCTTGCTAACCACCCCCTCCAAGACCTGGTTCCGATGTGGGTGCAATTGGCAACATTACAATGGCCTGAAGCGAACAATTTCTAAAGCCTCCCCTCTGCTTCAGATTCAGTCTTGATAACTTTATTATCGCTGCTTTTTCAGACTACTGCAGACGCTACAAGCGACATGTGGCATTGCCCTCAATAAGAATTGGGGCTTGGGTGCTGCACCTGAAGCATCACCAGCAAAAGCAGAATACCCCACGCCATCCCTACTAGCCACTCATCCAAAAGCTGGGCTGGAAAGTACTTTAGAAAGAAGTAACTGGGTGTGAGATGGGAAATTTCTGTAGAATATGCACCACGCCTCAGACACAAACCTCCGGACTAACCCAGAGGGCGTTGCTGCCAGCATTCTTGTATTAAGAACGGCTGCTCTGTGCCAAGAGCCAAAGACCCCCGCAGGTTTCTGCCACTCCTTGATTTCAAGAGCCAAGTGCATCAAAACAGAGAAGCAGGAGGTACAGGCAACCAAATGCATAGACAAAATTTATTAAAAACTACGTAAGTCAAAGTAAGGAAAATATATACACATAGAGGACACCAAGCCCAAAACCTTGAGACAGTTTGAGCAGCGGCTGGCTTTGAATAGCAGAAGGCTTGGTTAAGAGAACAGCCTCTTGGCCTGTGAGTCCGTCTGAGCTTGGCCCACTATCGGCTCTTCCAGCAAAGACCGTCGGGAGCGACTAAGGCCTTGCAGAAAGCCATGCTTGCCCCCATCTGACGTGCATGGAACCAAGCCCAAATTCCAGTGAGGGCATTTCTCCTCAAACCCCTTTGCAAGACCTAGTTCATGGGAACCGGGTTAAAGACCGGGGGCAGCACCCGCTTGGAGTTGGCCTTCACCCAAGGGTGCTCTATCACAGCCTGCAGCGGTAGCCGGTCGGATGGGTTGTGGCGCAACAGCTTCGTAATCAAGTCCCGGGCACCTTCTGTCACAAATGGGGGGAACTTGAGATCCACCTGTTACGGGAAGAGCAGGAGACGCAAGGTCAGCCCATGACCAGACGATAGGCCAGAAAGATCTACCAGTTTGAGCATGGAAGAAATACTCTTTCGCCTTCTAAAAGCAGACAGCTCTGCCCCCAGCCCTCCCCCACTGTCTCCCCCTTGCTCTCTCTCTCACCCCCCCCCCAGAGAAAGGCGGGGGAGAGAGTCCTGCTTGTGAACATATCTGGGCAAGAACCAAATAGTTTCCACATAACACTTTGGGCCGATGCAAGCCCAGCACTCCAGGGAGCCGCCCCAAGACCTTTGAGATTCAAGGGGTAGATGGGGAACCACCCGCCCCACAGGCTGCCTGTTTGCTCACTGCCGCTGCTCCGCCACCAGCAAGCCCGCCGCACCCAGGGAAAGGGGAGGGCGCACTGGCAGGCAGCGGCCCCTGAAATGCACTTCTTGGCTCCTTCCCATCAGAAAACCGTCACGAGCAGAGCTTGGCAACGTTGCCGGCTGGTAAAGCAGCCCTGCAATTCCTTCCCATTTCTCTGGGAGGAAGAACACAGCCTTCTCAAGCCAAAGGAGGCATTGTCCCAGCACCACCCATCAACCTCGTCCCGTGACCCTGGCCCAGGCATCCCTTCCATGTGGTCTCAGCATTCTTATCCCCCATGCTCCTTTCAGCCACTCTGTCAGAGACACTCGCACGTGTTAACCAAGACCGGGTTCCCCCACCCCAGCCTCTCCCCAGGCCCAGCTGCAGGCTGCCCCCCAGCCCTGACCGCTGCTCCCTCGCTTTTCCCTCTTCTAATGTTGCCTCCCCTGCCCCAACACCCTCTTCTGGTCCACTCCTCTCCCCGCTTGGGCATGCTCCCAGGATTCGTATATCCCCACACGTGTTTTCCCAGCTCTGTGGAGTAACTCAGGCTTACACCTGTGTCAGTCTGCAGCTGGACAGTTCGACCTGAGCACATCTATGAGCAAGGAAGTCCTACTGACAGCAGAAACCTGTGTCTATTCCCTCAGAAGCAAGTTCCATGAAATTCAGTGTGGCTGACCCAGATGTAAGTGTATACAGGAATGCAGCTTCGGTGTGTGTGTGGGTGTGTGTGTGTGGGGGGAATGATTCTAAAGGCAGCTGTAGGGACAAACAATGAAAAGGGAAATAAGAGGGCAGGGTACAGGTGAAGATTGACTGTGTGATATGACTGTGTCCAGTTCTGGGCACCACAGTTGAAGAACAATGCAGACCAGCTGAAAAGGATTCAGAGGAGGGGAACAAGGGTGATCCGGGACTGGAAACGAAGCCCTACAAGAAGAGATGGAAAGAACTGGGCATGTTCAAGCCTCGAGAAGAGAAGATGGAGGGGAGATAGCCTTTCAAGTGCCCGTGGAGTACTCTGTCACGAAGGAGGCAGCGAGGATCTCTTCTCTATCATCCCAGAGTGCAGGACAGAAAATAACAGGCTCGAATTACAGGAAGCCAGCTTCTGGCTAGTTACCAGGAAAAACTTCCTGACTGTTCCAGCAGTACAACAATGGAACCGATGACCTAGGGAAGTTTGGGCTCTCCCACACTGGAGGCGTTCAAGGGGCCACTGGACAGACCTCCGAGAGGAGCGCTTTAACTTAGTGTCCCGCACTGAGCTGGGGGTTCGGCTCACTTGCCCTCTGGCCCCTTCCAGCTCTAACACAGCTCTTCTGTCTGCCTTGACCAACCCGATGCAAAGGTTCCCTCCCATCAGGGCCAGGTCCTCATGCTTTTGCACCCTCCTCCGTTGGGGCCAGGACCCACAGTGCCCTGTCCTTGGGAAGAGCAAAGCTCAGCTCCACCGCAGGCCAGCTACCCTGTCCCCGGGCAGCACACACACAAGACACTGCGCCAAGGGCGAAGCCACCAGGACAGGCCCCCGCTAGCTGGGCATGCTGGGAAGAGTCAGGCTCACCGAAACAATGCGCCGGTACGTCTCCGAGTGGGAGGCGCTCTCGAACGGGGGGTGCCCCACCAGCAACTCATAGCACAGAATCCCGATACACCAGAGGTCCACCTTCTCATTGTGCGCTTTGCCTTCGACCATCTCGGGGGGCAAATAGTCCAGAGTGCCGCACATCGTCTTCCTCCTGGGGCAGGGGAGACGGATGGGAGCGAAAGCTGAAGAGATGAACGGAACACAGCACCCCAGAAGGCCGGAGCAGCACCTCCCGTGTCCCAAGCCCATCCCAGTTTCAGATGGCAACCACCTCAAGAATGCCCCCTACCTGAGCGAGGGCGCATGCACCGACCAGCCGAAGTCTGCAATCTTCAGCTCCCCCTTGAGCCCCATAAGCAAATTCTCTGGCTTGATGTCCCGGTGGATCACTTTCTTGCTGTGGCAGTAGATGAGCGCGTCGGCCAGCTCTTCCATGTACTGCAGAGGAGAGGCAAAGGGGACTTTGCTGCCCGAAAGAGATGGAAGTGCTCGCACTGCTCTTTCAAAGCTGCAGGGAATACGAGAGCCTTGTCTCCGAGCCACTTCCTGAACTCGAGGGGCAAGCATGGCAGGCGCTAGAAAGGAAGGGCCCCTCCGACAACAGCTCCTCCCAAGTTGGGGAGAAGAAAGAGGAAAGCAACCCTTCCACCTTCACAAAGGGTGGAAATACCGGGAGGCCGCGCGTTCTCCAGCTGTGAGGTGCAGCTCACCGTGGCACTCCGACGTTCATCAAACCGCTGGTACTTCTGCAGTTCCTTGTATAGCTCCCCCCGAGGGGCATACTCCAGGATCAGGTACACACGCTTCCGGTCGTGGAAGTAGTTGTAAAGGCGCAGAATGTTGGGGTGACTAGAGAAAAAGGGAGGCTATTAGCATCTACCACCAGAGGGCAGTAGAAAGACACTGATATCCCATATGGGGAAGCAGATTCATACTATTGGGTCCAGTGCAGTAGGAATCTAGGAAAAGGGTGTGCTTTTTGTAAAGGCTACAGTCACACAACTCCCAAGTGGTACTCCAGGGCCTGAGGATTTCGTCCAGCCCATCTTCCAAAACAACCCAACAGGATCTGCCCTTCTTGCACAAACAATGTCAGAGCACAGGTAATGCCCAGATTTTGCCCTTCTCCACATTTGGTGATCCAGTTCTTGGCTCCCAACACATATAAAACCCTATATAAGGGGATATACGTTGGGATATTTTAGAACCGGTGTGGTGTGACGAGTGCTGGACATGGGAGCTGGGTTCTAGTCCTGTCTCGGCCTTGAGCCAGTTGCAGCCCGAGCCTCCTCAGTGTTGCTGTTGCGAGGATGAAAATGGAACAGAGAAAGCTATGTAGGCCACCTTGCATTCCTTGCAGGAGATAAAGGACAAGGCCTCAATGCAATGCTGCACTCACAGTAATTTAGAATAGAATATTTGTTGGAAAGCATTTAAATATGAACTGACATGCCATTTTTAAAATAGAAGGCTAGCACATAAACAGAATATATGGACTGAGGAGTGAACACATACAGAAATAACACAGACCCCAAATACCTGACCATTCCCTTCCCATGAGTTCATATGGCTACCTGCCAGGACAACATTCCGGATCTGCAATGTTCCGCACAATTTGTCCGGGATTGTGAAGGACAAAGCATTTTCCGCTCCCAAATGGATTCCTTCCAGATCTGTTTTTTCTCAGCCACTTTTTGGAAGGAACCATGTAGGAGAAGAGGCCACTGGGCCCAGTTGGCTTTTTTTTCAACATGCATAACATGATAAGAGCACTGTGAGCAATCTTGAAAGGCTGAGAGTCGTGCCGATCAGATCACAAGCCCCTCTGGCCCAGCACTGTTCACAGAGGCTGCCCGGCTGCCCAGGGGAGCCCCTCAGGCAGGAGAGCCGTGCCCTCCCACCCACGTCTGCCAGCGACTGGGGCACATGGGCGCAGGACCTGGATTCCAGCATCACAGCCGCTGAGCCGGCAAGGCCCCCAGAGCACCGCTGCATCCAGTTTTATTGGATGAGTTTCAGCTGGTACCAGCTGAGCATGATGGAGTGGTGCTCGAACAGGCTCAGGCAACTGCCTCTGTTCCAGATCCACGCCCCTCATGGCTAATAAAAACCATCAGGGAAGGAATGGCAGGCTAGGCCTGGAGGTGAGTAACACTCCTCGAGAGAAGGCCCCGTGTTCCTTTGGAGAAGAGTTGGAAGGACCACACCTGACCTGACCTGACCTGGAAGATCCTGAAACACGAGGGCAGTGGGAAGTGTCCCATTCCTGGGCAAGGTCCTTGGGCAGATGTGGGCCAAGCAGTTCCCGGCACTCTTGAGTAAGGCTGATTATCTGGACCCATTTCAGATGAGGTCCAGAACAGATTCTGGCATGGAAACACTTTGGTCACCCCATGCTGAGTGAGAGACTGGGGGTTGCGACCTGCTTGATTCTCCTGGCCCTCTCTGGCTTCCAGCGCCATTGACCCGGGCGTCCTGCTGGGGTGACTCTCCAAGCTGGGCGTGGGGACTACTTGGGGGGACTCCAGAGGGGCTGCTCAGAGGATACGGCTTGCTCTGTTGAGTTCTCCAGGCTGAGGTTCTGCAGAGATCAATCTCCCCTCCGTGCTATTTAACAGCTACATGAAACCACCCAGAGCACCTCCGCTCTTAAGGTGGTGCAGAAATGAAATTAACCCGAGTGGTGCCTCTGACACAGCCAGCAGGTCCGGTAACCACAGACAGCCAGCACCTCCGTGCGTTTCCCCAGTCCACTGTGGGAGCAATCCAGACCGCTGCATTTTGCAGCAATGATTTCCACAGTCGAGCCCCTTCTGTGTGAGGAAGCCCTTCCTTTGCTCAGTCCTGAATCTCCTGCCCATCAGCTTCACGGAATGAACCCTTCAGGTCCTTCCATTCTGAGCGAGGGAGAACCACGCCCCCCCCTCCCCATCATGCAAACTTCTGAGCACCTCTCCCCTTCCTCACCATTTTTTTTCTACACTATACCCTCCTGGTGCTGGAACCTTTCCTCATAGCGGGTTGTTCCAACTTCGGGTTCATTTTAGTTGCCCTTTAGTTGCTTGAGGGCTTCTCCCTTCAAGTCAAGGCCACTGGCCTTTTATTGGTAAGTCTGATCATTTTTATAGGCAATCTGTTTGTCAGTTTTTTTGAAATGTGTTTTTACAACTTCATGCAAGTTTAACTTGCACACCACACTGAGAGGCTTCTGCCCTTAAATGTGTGGGAAAACTATTTTAGCTGGATATCTAAACAGATGGACTATCCAACTGCAAACATACCAAAATGTGATTGTCGAAACATCAGAGAAGGTGCATTCCTAAAAAGCAGAGTCCAGACTCTCAGAAGAGTGAACTGACCCAAACTATTAAACAAAGCACCTGCCGCTTAACGACTAGAAGAAAAAAAAGCTGCCTTGTATCTTCTCCTTCCCATAAGCCGCCAAACAGGAAGAGCATCTCTTACTGAGTGCAATGAGATAAGATGCCATTTTAAGGCCCAACACCGTGGCAGAAAATTTAGTCTCTGAAGCATTCACAAGGAACTAGCTGAGCTTGGTCGCTTGCAGTCAAATGTCACTGTCCACCGTTCACAGCAAAACTAGTGGCTGCAAACTCTGGATACAAAGCAATCTTTTTACGAAGTTTCCCAATTAGGCTCAGAAGAGCTGGCCTGTCAGTGTGCCTTATGCTCCAGAAGAATTTGCCCATATCCACTGCCAGAGTAGCAGGGAAAGAAAGTTTTAAATACGAACCAAAACCGCTTTATCCTGTTATACTCCACAACCCGCAGCATCTCCAATACCTGAGATGGCACTGGATCTCAATCTCCCGGCGCAGCTGGTGCTCCACACCCTCCTTCTCCATGTGGGACTTGAAGAGCACCTTGAGCGCCACGATGAACTTGGAGTCCTTCAAGCGGGCCAGGTAGACGTTGCCAAACTTCCCCTTGCCGAGGGGCCGCCCGATCTCGAAGTCCTCAATGGTGAATGCGCGCCTTGGCCTACAAGCCAGGATGTTTTGACAGGGAACAGGATGGGTGCATTAGAAACCCCACTGGTACCCGGGACACCCAGGGGCTATCCAAGCCCTCCTGAATGCCCCTCCCCCCACCCACCACACAATCCTTTCGGAAGCCACGGAAAGGAAACTCACACGGGGACTTCCTGCGTGGGCGGCTCAAGGGCACTGGACTCCACAGACACCCTGCCTGGGATAGCTGTGGAAGCAGAAAACGAAGTCAGGACAGCCCTGCCAAGCACAAACTGAAGGCCCCCACACGGCACCCTGGGGGCATGAGAGGCCATTTCACCCTCCAGGAGACAAGACCAGGCCCAGCTGCAAATGGCCCTGTGCACACACCACACACCAAGGTCTTACCCGGGTTCTGGGCAGCACAGGAGACCTTCAGCCCCTGCTTCACGCTGCTGGTGACAGCTCTGTGCATCAAAAGCGATCCAGAGGGGGTGCTGGTGTCCTTACAGGGAACCCGCTGAGGGCCTGTCTGGCTGTTGAGCCGGTACTGTGGGAAAGGAACAGCAAGGACACATGCAAGGAAGGAGGAGACATTCTGTTCCTGGGATGAAGCAGCCAGCCCCAGCAGGCGCAAGGAGGTTGCTCAAGGTGAGCGGCTTCCAGGTACAACCACAACTGCTTGAAGGGGTACAAGGAGAAGAGGTGGATGGCTTCCAGCAGGCAGAAGATGAGTTTCCATCTCTGAGAAACTCCTTCTCACCCCACAGGCAAGTATAATCCAGATTAAGCACACGCCGCGTGGACGAGCCCAGATTCCTTCCTTTGTGCATGGAAGAGACTCGGTTCAGCCCACGGCACCTTCAGTTAGGGCTAGGGAGACTGTCACCCTGTACTGCTTGGTGAGAGAGTCTAGCTTCACACATTCTGCTCAGGGTTCTGTTTCTTTTTTTGAGGGGGGTTATGACTCACAAATCCTCCATCCTTTGAAATGGAGCAGTGGGAGAATCCTGTTCATGTTGCTTTTTTTCTAGGCACTGTGACAACTGGCACCATCTACTAAACTGCCCAGACTTGCAACAGCCTGTCAGCCTATGGGAAAACGGGGACCCCAACCCAAGTCCTTCAGCCCAAAATCGCATCCCTCCAGCAACAGCTGAGTTTACAGCAAAGGCTCATTTGAAGGCTCAGGCCACAGAATGCCGCAGCCACTCCGCACTTTGGTTTACACATGCCAGCACAGGCCTTGTTCACTGGCAGTGAAGGCGACACTGCTCTGAATACATGGAAGGGTTTGTTGTGTGCGTTTTTTAAAACCCCGGTCGTTATTTTTCCAGCCACCTGCACATTCCCTACCTTTGTTAGAGTCCCCACTATGAGGGTAGAGGGCAATAAAAACCACAATTCACACAGAAATGGATTTCCATTGGGTGGTGATGCACAGAAAGGTGAAGCCCACGCTGCGGGAAGCTCTCCCCTCCAAGGTGCGCCAGGCTTCAGTGCTGGCATCTCTTAGAAGTTGATTGAAAACATTTGTTTACCATGGGAAGTGGTATATAAATATTGAGAACACGGAAGTAAATGGTGCCAAGACCCAATCAGCCAGTTCTTGTCTATGGCTCATGCTCAGTTTAAAGCACCAGCCATTCAAAGGCCCATTCTAAAGAAACAGCCCCTTGCCACAACCCACCAGCCCCCATCCCACACGCAGGAGACGTATCCCTACCCCAGAGACTGCAGTGGCAGGTGCAGAGCACAACTTACTTTGTAAAAGCTGCTCATATTTTCCTTATTAGCCATCCCAGATGAAGAAGAGGATGGGAGTCTTTCTTTTCCACACCCTCTGGAAACTTCTGGAGCTCAGAGTCCTCGGTGGGAGAGAAAGCGTAGCCCTGGTGTCCAGCACCAAGTTGGAAAGCCAGCACTGTTGGGAAAAATTCAGCTAAATTCTGGCAGAAGAGGGATGCTGATATGTCTTTGTGTTATAAAATGCCTGCACCCCTCTTTCTCAAGGAAGTACCCAAACATTCCAAGCCAGGTTACTGTTTGGCATTTGCTGTTACTTTCAGAAGTGGGACTTGCTGGCCTCCCCCAAGAACCTGGCAGGGCTATTTGTTTTGCTGATCAGTAAGAACTGGTCAGGTTGCCAGGTTAACAGCATGGCAAGCACTCTCATTTGCATGCCAAGACTCACAATAATTCCTTGATCATGAGGTTAATATCCTGCAATCAAATGCCACTGTATTTGGAGCCCCCTCTGCAGCCCTTTCGCCTTCTTCTGACTGTGTTCACCTTGTTTCCTCATCAACAGCCCAGCTGCTGGGCCCATGTGACTCAGAAACTATAAAATACTCTGTGTATGTTCTAAAAGCTTGCAGCTGGCAGTGCAGGCCGCTACCTGGGAGCACGCTGTCGTAAGTAACTGCAGGGGGCCTGGGTGATCTTTCAGTGTAACCGCTGAGGTTCAAGGCGAAACGGGTCTTTCCTGGCTGAACCCACCCGATGCCCTTTGCTGTGGCTGCCATTGCAGCTTCCCTGACAGCACCCACAATTACTGCAGCTCCAATAGCCTAGTCCAGAAAGATTTCTCGGCCACTTGGCAATGGGGGTGGTACTGTAAATCAGCAGACTGAACCAAAAAAAAAAAAAATCTATTCCCACCAGATATCCCAGCAACAAGCAAAGCGAACAGAAGCACCACACAGGCCAGAGGCTCTGTGAAAAAGCACCTCCTTGGCTTGACATCTGATGGGCCGCTTTGAGTTTCTTAAGCTCAGTGCTGCAAAGGACGTGATTATTGGGACCACCCTAATGGGAATGACCATCCTGAGGGGCCTCCAAAGGCAGGCTTTAGAGATGCTAACAGTCCCTTGCACAATTGTTCCGAGTGACTGAGAAGGTACGTGAAACACTTCATCCATGTAGATGCTATGGCAACGAGGAGCAGGGCAGGGTTTTGGCATTTGTAAATCCCTCTAAAGAATCCTGACATGTAAGAGAACTACAAAGCAGCTGGGTACCCTTTCCTTGTTCTCACCAACTCTGTGCCTTTATTTCCTTCCTGCCTGCAAGCTGCAGAGGACTCCAAAGGCCTAAGGGATTACTTGAGTTGGGAGCTGTGTCTTAGGCTGTCCATCACAAGAGTAACAAATAACCAAGACAAAACCATCAGCCATGGATACCAAAACACACACCCAAGGGCCGGCCAAAAATAAGAACATTGCTTCTAGAGAATTTTAAAATACTCCACCAGCCCTGCACAGCAGTCTTACCAATTAATCCACTGGCAATTTCACATTATGACCACAAACCTATGCATGTTTAGACAGAAAAGCATCCTACAACTCTCACCATCCCCGAGTCAGAATGCTGGGATTATAGGGCATTTTTTCCTGTCTACACACACAGAGAACCCCGATTTATCATAAGTGAGCTGCATGCACTTTGGTCTGTCACTCAGCCACAACAAGCCAGGAATGGTTTAACATGTCGCCTGAACAAGGAGTCAATCTTGCTGAGCACCTCACCAGAGAGCATCACAAGCAAAGTTTAGTTTTGTAGCGTAGCTTACAATTCCTGGTTTGTAAGATTACAAATCAAGATACCTAGCTTAACCAAAGTAGTCCAGAACAAAAACATTTTTCATTACATATACAGACCAACTTTCTTCCTTAGGAGAGAAGGTGGAGCACAGAATGTTCCTCCTCTCCGTCGTATCTTCTTAAAAACCCTGTGAGGTAGGTTGGGCTAAGAGTTAGTGACTGACCTAACTGCCCAAGGAACTTGGTAGTAAAGGGGGAATTAGGGCCCTGGCCTTCCCAACAAGTGTCAGCCTCTGCTCGAAGAGAACCATTCCCCCTGATAAAGTATCCTGGCAAAACAACCAAGCTACAGGTCAGGAAGTCCAGTTTGGACCTCATCACTGCCCTGAACTCACTAGGTGCCCAAGGCAAGCCATTCTCCAGCTGTCTCGAGGGGATAATGATTCCCCTCAATATATGCCCTCCGGCCCCTTGAGATCAGCAACAGATGCCCTTCTCTGGGAGCCCTCCGTGAAGGAAATTAGGAGGGTAAGTACTCGGAGGAGGACCTTCTCTGTGGTGGCGCCCCATCTATGGAATGCGCTCCCCAGAGAGGTCCGCCTGGCGCCGTCATTATTTGTTTTTCGGCACCAGGCGAAGACCTTTTCATTTAAAACTTATTTTTAATTGTTAAATTATTGAATTAGGATTTTAAATTTAAACCGGGGGTTTTAAAACGATTTTTTATTGTTATATTATCATTATTTATGTATGTATTTATGTATCCTTTGTGAGCCGCCCCAGGCTTTGTTGCGATGGGGGCGGCATAGAAATGTTTTAAATAAATACATACATAAATTTACAGGGGCGTTCATGGAAACGATGATGCAGGTGAGGGGCTCTGAGCGCCAGAAAGCACACCAGCATGCTTTCTGTCACAGATCTGCACAACCCCCGCATTCACTGGCTTGCTCTGAGCGTTGCTTCCCGCACGGCAGGCTTGTGCTTCGGGCCACTGGGTTCCCCCCAGCGTCTCACGCTTCGCTGCTTCTGAAGTCCGGCTGGCGGCCACAGCTCCGCGCCCGCGGTGGGATCTCGCGCAGCCCGGGCCGTGAGAACGGCCTCGCCACCGCTCTGTGCCGGGGCCCGGGTAGAGCAGGGCGGGGAACCACAAGCCTTCCCGATGTGCGCGGCCGCGGCGCCCTGCCGCCTGGGGCTCGCGGGCCCCGCAGTCCAAGGCATCCGGAACGTGCCAGGCCACCGGAGCCCCGGCGCGGACGATCCGCGGCCCCCACGAACCTTGCGCAGCGGGGCGGGGCAGCGCTCCGCACGAAGCCCGGCCGCTCGCTCGCCGCAGGCCAGCCTCCTCGAGCCGATCAGCGCGGCGGCGCCGGGCGCCCCCCCGCCGCACCCCGCTTTACCTGCAGCCGCCGCTGCTCCCCCGCCAGCGACGCCGCACCGACCCCTCGCTAGGCCGTTCAAATCTACCACGCGAAGCCCCATTGGCTGCCGCAGCCTTCCGGTCGCTCGCCGGCAGGTGCGCCCACTGATTGGTGGAAGGGGGCCCATTCCCCGCCCTCGTGCGCCCTCTTTCGTTTTCCCACTGGCTGGCCGTAGGGCGAGCCACCGCCCACCCTGTTTCCACGCCCCGCGCTGCTCTTCCATTGGCCAATTGTTTTCTTCTCTCAGGAGGCTTCTTATTGTCTTAACGGATGCCGAGGGAAAAAGACGAATAGAAGGGGCGGGATTAAAAAGGTTGCTATCGATTCGTTGGTTTTCCAAGCTGTAAGAGAAGCTCGATCCTGATTGGCTATATATTAAAGGCCGCGCGCGAGTTAGTTCTCAGCTGTTTAAAAACGGTGCCTTGTCAGTCTCCTTAAGGCCAGCCAATCAGAAGGGAGAAAAGGCAAATCTAGGCGACTCCGCCGGCCATTTTGTGAGATGCCAAGTCAGGTTTTGGAAAACGTGGATAGAAGGAAGATGTCAAGCCTACCCGCAAATACCGAGTACGGCTTGGAAAAGAGCGCGCGCGCCCGAGGAACAAGAGAAAGGCTGGGTTCTGAAGGAGATAAACTCGTTAAAGTACATAAAGAGCGGCTAATCGCAACACATGGGAGACCTGTTCCCGGGGGTGCAAGGCCACAGACAAGCGAAGAATAGGTGTAACAGAATTGATGGGCGTTAGACTTGACCAATCGAAAGAGAGAATCGGCCTGTGGGTGTGCCTAACGCCAGCCTGACACGCCCTTCGGCTGCTGGTGTTCTACCTCGGAGGGCTGTTGTGAGACAAGCTGAGAACGCCGTCGCCACTTTCGATGAACCACAAGTAACTAAACAGCCAGTGATTACGAGCAACCCATACTTCCCCTCGCTGGTATATAGATTGCATTTACTGAACTAGATAATATGGGTATCTAGACGCGGAGATGCAAAAAGAGATTCTTCTGTTTTTGGAACAATTCCTTAAAATAAGATCGCCAGAGAAATCAGAAAGGAGCAGACCGGGGCGTTGCGATTCCCCGATCAGCAGAGACTCTAATCATGTCTCATACGCTCTCCATTCATCATGTGCTGCCCTCCCGGAGGAGGAACAGGTAAGGATGTACCTTACTGACGATACAGACGCCTTTGCCTCGCGTGCGCAGCCATTTTGGGCACTGTCACCCAAGTCACGGTGGGACAAAACGGCACCTTTCCTGGGAGGCGCTCCGCCGTCTCCTCGCCGCTTCTTCTTGCTGCCGTCACGTCCCGAAGGCCAGCCATCACCCGAACGTCCCGCAGGAGCTGCAGGCGAGCAGCCCAGGCAGAACACGACCTGCTTTCCCAGGGAGCCACGCGCCGCATTTGCATGAAGCGCCCCTATTGCTCGAGGACATGCGGAAAAGGCGGCGTTACCGTATTTACTAGGAAAAGCGGGCAGAAGTGTTTGAAGGGTATGTCTGCGGGCTGCCGCAAGGGGCACAGAAGGGGGCAGAGGAAGATCTGCTAACCCCAATTGTGCCCTCGTGGTTCTCATGTTCCAGCCTGGCCCCTTTTCTTGGGAGGAGAATTCCAGAGAATTCTTACTCGAACTTGGATGAGCTTGTTTTAATGGTTGTTTGTTAACCCACCCAAGCTCATCCAAGTTTGGGTAAGGAGGCTAGTTGTGTCCAGCAGCACCCCTTGTGGTCCCCACGTGCTTGCTTGCATTCCCCCCTCAAGGAACGCGGCAGAAACGGGGTCATCCTCTTATATCTTCACAACAACCTTGTGAGGTATACTAGGCCGAGCAATCCTGACACAGCCTCCTGGTACAGTTCATGGTGGGCAGGAAGGAAAGCTCAGGCTGCTTTGCTGCAGTGTGACATGTCGGCTGTTACGCAGTGGTGGCCTTCTCTTATGCCCTGGGTCAGAACTGGGCCCAAGGGAGCATCACAGGGTGGGGAGAAGCATTTCCTTGCATCAAACTGCATTTGCCCACCTGACAGTCAGGACCCCGAGGGTGTGGAATGGGCTTCCATGGGAGGTCGTTGAGGCCCCATTGGTGCGGGTGTTCAAGGACGTGCCGGATGTGCACATGGTGGGCATGTCATGAGCGGAGCCGGCTGGAGCCAGGGGTCAGACTAGATGGCCCGGGAGACCCCTTCTGACTCGCTCCGTTTCTATGTTTCTACCTCCTGTTTGCAGAGATCCCTTTGGAACACATCACAATCTCTTGCTGTTTTCACCGCTCTGAATATTTCGTGCCATCAGTAAGCTCGGTCACCTCACAGATCAATAGGACTCCAGACCATTTATGTTCCAGAACACATGAAGAAAGCTTCTGCAGGAGCTTTGAATGCTCAGACAAGGAGGTCCATTGTCCCCACCCCTGTATTTCACACTATTGGCTTTATTGACCAGACCAGCTCATGGAGAAAAGAGCGCTGGTTTCTTTTGGACAACGGCAAAAAATGCAAGGAGGGAATGACCGCAAAGTAATATGAAGCAAAATAATTTGGCATCTCAGCTTTGACAGTGGCTATCCAAACAGCAGCATTCCTTGCACATTTATGAGGAGAGTGATGTTTTATTTAAGGTTTTCAAAAGGGAGATTCTTCTCTAGCGCCTTCTACCATGATCTGTCCTGATAAAAATATATGCACAAACTGAACTGCTTTTTCTCCCGGCAAACAGCCACCCGTCCTTGCTCTTCTGCAGAGAGACTCCAGGACCACAGGGCGGCCAGCTCTCAGGGGAGAGTTTGGCACACTGGCAAATGCACAACCAGAGGCTGAAAGCCGTGCAGGGTCCGGGAGCAGGCATGTGACAGCATGCAGTACTGCAGGGTTCCCTCTGGAGGGAGTCGCCCACTGCAGGAGACGCTGGCTTTGCTTGGCTCAGCGGAAATTGGTGCAGTCCTCACACAAAACAGGCAGAAACCAGGGAAGGAAAGCGGTCGTACCGTTCGTTGTGCTCCTAAGGAAGCCATGTTCCTCGCGCTCCTTCTCTCTGACTGCAGCCAGCCTCTGCTGAGGAGCGTCTTGCTAACCCTCTGGCGGTCTGTCTGGAGCTTCTCTCCTGCAGGGCGATCCCAGGGAACGCCTCTTCTGAAGGACGGGGGATGCTCCCTCTCTCGTGCCTGCTTCTCACAGGGGCTTCTTCTTCAGCCCAAAGACCGAGATGAAAAGCAGGGCCTCAACAGCAGCGGGCAGGGCACTGCGCGGGGGCAGAGACAGAGAAGGGGGGGGGTGAGTGCCGAGGAGGAGGGCTCCCCACTCCCTTGGCAAACGGAAAGGAAGGGCGCTTGTGCTCGGGCACGTGGCGCTGTGCGTCTACCTGCAGAAGCCCATGATGTACCAGTAAGTGACGATCTCCCAGCGCTCAAAGACAAAAAAGGAGAGGCAGATGGAAGCGCTGCAGTGAGCCGCCAAAGCTGGTGGGCAGCGGTCAGGGAAACGGTCGCTGGAGCAAGGATGCCGACCCGACTGGCAGCTCTGTCCCACCCCAAGCCACACCGAGGACCCCAGAGGTGGGCATGTGTCCCTCTCCACCCATTCACCCTCGGTTTCATTTGGGCCGCAAATCCAGGAGCCCCAAGTTCCAACATTCCGGGACACTGGACGAGAATGTGGTGGCCATTTTGAGGGTGAAAAGGTGTGGCGTAAGTACCTTAATTAATCAGTGTGCAGAAGGGGAGAAGTATTTTTCATGCCGCACGGCAGAGCAATATTCCAGGTGCTCTGTTTCGATGCCAGCATGCTTACTTCCACCCACAGCTTTCTCGCCAGCAGAGCCTCAACACCCAGCTTCCCCCGCTGTTCCCTTTCTCGCCACAGCAGGCGGCAGATAAAAAGGTGCCGTGCTCTCCCCGGCTCTGCTCCAGAGGGCACGGCCATCATTGCGACTGACCTGCAGAAGGCGAAAATCCACCAATACAGACTGTTGTCCCACTGTTCAAAGAAGAAGAAGAGCAATGCCACGGCAGCAGACGCATGTGCCCCGATGGCTGGGACGGAGAGGGTGCTCAGTCAGGGAGCGACAACAGCTGAATGGCCACCCCCCCCACCCCGAGAAGCCAGCTGCATCATGCCAAGACAGGGGGCATGAGGAGGGCAACAAGGATGATTTGGGGACTAGAAACAAAGCCCCGTGAAGAAAGATGGAGAGAGCTGGGCATGCTTAGCCTTGAGAGAACTGACAAGAGATGTGGCATTGCTCTCCGCAAGTCCCTGAAAGGCTGGCACGGAGGGGGAGGACCAGATCCCTTCCTGACCTTCCCAGACTGCAAGACGCGGAATAAGGGGTTCAGGTTACAGGAAGCCAGCTTCTGGCTAGACATAAACAACTCCTGACTATCAGAGCAGTCCAACAGTGGAACCAACCACCTGGAGAGGTTGTGGGCTCTCCCACCTTGGCCACATTCAGGGTGCAGCTGGACAGCCTCACCAGGGGTGCTCTGACTTGGGGTCCTGCGCTGAAGAGAAGGCTGGAGCCAGTGGTCTTCTGGGCCCTCCCAGCTCTTCCATCCCCTTGGTGTGACTGAACAGACATCCAAAGTGGGCACTCACGTCACTTGCTTCTCCTCTGGCTGAGAAGCCCCACTCCGCAAGGGATTTCATGAGTTCTTCTCAGTTGCTCAGCTGATGAATTTTCCCTCCTTGTAACCAGCATGTAACCTTTGCTTATATCCTTCTTATTTGTTAGATTTACACCCCACCGTTTTTCCTACCGAGGAACTCAAGGTAGCTTGCATAATTCTCCTCCTCTCCGACTTACCCTCCCAACAGTAACGCTGCGAGGTCAGTTGAGCTGAGAGTTTGTGTCTGGCCCCAAGTCACCAGGTGGCTCCATGACCGAGCAGGGACTAGAACCCGGGTCCCCCGTGTCCCAGGCCTGCACTCTTAACCACTAAGCCGTGTGGCTCTCTTGTGTTTTCAAAGGATACAGAGGAGACTTTGTGCATTGTTGAACATGGACACCCCGGAGAAGAAGCCCACCAGCTCCACAGCAAACAGCCCAAGAGTCACAGACAGTGCCACCACCAGTCTGGAAAGAGCCACAGAAAGAAGATGCTGAGTCTCCTAGACAAATTCTTCCTTGCCCCAGTTAGCATAATCGGTCTCTAGCCCTTCCCTTTTTCCTCTGCTGCATGTGTGTGTGTATATATACACGTGCACACACAGTATGAGCAAAACTGGACCACCCCATTGTGCAGTCTTATGCATGTTTAGACAGAAAATGGTCCTGGCTCAAGATACTGGGAGTTGTAGAAAGACGAAAGACCTCTGTCTGCACAGGAATTCTCACCGAGTCTCTGTTCAAAATAAAACTTAATGGGGACATGGCTCCACACCATGCAGTGCTCACGATGTCTGATTAAATGTCCCCCACCCCACAAAGAAGTGGGATGCCTAAAGCATGCGTGAACATCCACTCTAGACTGTGAAATCTCAAAAAGGATATTACAGAGATGAAGAAGATAACGGAAGGGGCGATCAGTTGTTGGAGGGCTGGAGTAATTCCCCTACAGGCAAAGGTCACTCCACTCGGCGGCAATTTAGAAAAAGAAAGAAGATGGGGAAAGAAGATGTGGCGGCATCATGGTGATGCATTAAAAAAAAAAAAGGTAAACAGAAGTTTCCCTGCCTCTTGCTGTATGGGAACTGGGCTCATCCAATGAAGCTCAATTATTGAAGGTCCAGGACACACAGAAGGAACGGCATGGTCCACCGCTGGGCAATGGAATCCACTGCCCACAACGGGGTGGCAGCCCTTCAAAGGGGCTTGGCCAATTCATGGAGGAGGTGATTAACGGCATGAAATTTCCAGGGTGCCTCCTAAGCCCATGAATGAATACATTCCTCAGCAGGCTTCAACAGGGGAGAGGAGATCCTGGAGACACTCGGTCTTCTCCAGGTTAAAGAGGTGCTGCACAGATGGCTGCATCATGGATGGTCCCACACAGAGTACTTACTCCGTGTCTTTCTTCTGAAATTCTTCCTGGGTGCACTGAAGAGGTAAGGAAGCTCTGACATTGTTCTCCTGAAAGACAGAACAATCGGCCTGTTGGCAATGTATTTACTCAGGAGCCCTTAGCCTTTCTGGATCAGTGGACACATTTGGAACTAGAGAGAATATTCTGGCCACTCTCGGAAAATATGTATTTTTAAAATCAGATGTGCATGCCACCTTTTTTCTTACTAAGAACTCAAAGCGGCTTGTATCCGTCTTCTCCTCCTGTTCTCAATCTTATCCCCACAACGACCCGGTGGGGTAGGTCAGGCTAAGAGTCTGTGACTGGCCCAAAGTCACCCAGTTGGTTCCATGGCCAAGTGGGGATTAGAGCCCGGATCCCCTGGATCCCAGCCCTGCACTCTTAACCACCAGGCCACACAGGCAACTTGACACTGGAAAGGCTGCTCAGTCAGAAGACAGCTACCACAGCAGAGGTGGCCTCTCACAATATATTTGTTTTCCAGAAGATAAACTCTAAAAGAAAACTTGCTCAAGAACCAAAATGCAATAAAGAAGTCTCCGCTCCAAGACCCAAATAAATATGGTCCCGGCAGGTGGTACTTTGCTTTGCCACATGGCAACCTCCCAGCGAACATTCAAAAAATACAACAAAAATCAGGAGGGGTCCTGTGTGAGAGAACTTGCGTGCAGCTTGCTGGCCGCCGCGTGACCAGAACGCTGGACTGGATGGACCCCGGGTCTGATCCAGCAGGGCTGCTCTGAGTCTGATGCCTGTTAGGCATCAGGTGTGTGCACGGGCGTCAGCAGGAGCAGCAACGGGGTCCCCAGTGCCAACCGATTATAGGGGGAAAGTCGCAGTCACTACACCAACCCTTCCTCGCCACACTGCTCAATTAGGCTCTGTGTTTACACTATTATTTCTTGGCAAGACCCTCCTAAAAGACACAAAGCCTCATCTGCAGAGGCACAAGCATTCGGGGGAGCGACAGTGGGGGGAAGCCAAAAGGGGGAGAGGAAGCCAGAGTTGGGTAGCATCAATTTTCAAGCAAACGCCTCTTCCAATTGCTGGACTAGTCCATACTGTTCACTGCATACACTTTGTGTCGCATGAATGCTTAGAATGTGTGACCACAGGTGACAACTCCATTCCCTCTCAGGACCTGAGATGAGATTGTGGTTTCTGGCTTCCTGGAACCCCTCGCTTTTGCTGTCTCTCACAAGTGTGAAGTGTGCAATGGCCCCCACTTAGGAAGCGTTCAGGTTGCCATGGAGGACCAAGATTCTCTCCAATCTTTTCCAGCCCAGCACACATCTCACCCAGAGTGCAAAAGCAAAAGACACCCGCTGCTTCTGCCTGTGAGACAATCCTCTGCACTGGGGTCTCCGACCGTTTTGCACTGGTGGACACATTCAGGAATTTGAGAAATTGCAACTCAGGGCAACACCACGGCATGGTCTCCACAGAGGACATGGCTATATCACGGCTGTCATTAGTCAAAAGGAGGTAGGAGCGGGAGACAAATAGTGAGGCTAGAGGCTGTGAGGGTGGGAGAAATAGCAAGGCCAAGGGGAGAGAAGAAAAATGAGCAAGGTTGGAGGCTGATGGTGGTGAGAAACAACCAGATAAAGGGGTGAGATGGACGAGAAGGAGCAAGGCTAGGGAAGGAGATGAAGAAGAGAGGAATGAGATATAGTCAGGAAAAAGATAGGGTGGAGAAAAAGATGGTGGAGAGAGGGCCTTGCTATTTCTCCCACCCTCACAGGGGAAAGATTTGTCTGGACAGAAGAAGTTGGAATGCAGCCAGGTGAACGGCTGATCGGTGGCAGCTTCAGGAGCAGGAAAGAGAACCTGAGCCCCCACAGGTTTTTGAGAGGATTTTTTAACTTAACTTCTGAGGGGAACAGGAGCAAAGTTCCAAGGTACCACTGAGAGGCTCCATGGGACCACCGCTCATCCCATCCATCCCATCTTAAATACGCATCCCTCCCTCAATGTTGCTCTCCTATGACAAAGCCGGAAGGCGAGATTCATCAGTGCTAGGCCAACTGCCTGTCCTTGGAGGCGGAGGGGATTCTTATTTTTCTTAAAACTTCACTTTTGTGGACAAGGCATTAAACGAGCACCCCTTTAAACAGACCATACAAACAACTGAGGGCATGTTTTGAAGGCTTGGGGTGGGGGTGGCATTCAGAGGGTGAAGAGAAGTCTCTCACCCTAGACCAGAAGATGGTGATGACGATGACCAAATGGGCCGTGAGGGTCAGGAACCGTGAGGGAACCAATCCATTGACCAAAGGCATTCTCCCCCAGCACGGAAGAGGTGACAAAATCCTAGGAGTGAGGACAAGAGAGACAACACAAATCACCAGATAATGTCTGCAAGTGCGGAAAGAAGGAGAAAAGCATCCCTTGTCATTTGCTCACCACCACTAAGTCACCCAGGATGTCAGTTTGTGAACAAACACAAGCAAACATTAAGTGTTAACACAGCAAACCATAAGAGTACGAAGCAGAATTAACACGGAGGCACGGGAAGTATACTTCTGCAAACAGGTGGGCATGAGGCTCAGTCCGCCAACGAAATTAACTGTAATCTACCCATATTGTTTTTCCCCAGCAAGTGTGATACAAAAGTAGTTTGCCACTGAGTCTCTTTTCCTAAGATTTAAAGTGCAATGCTATGCATATTTAGATAGAAAAAGTCCTATTGTCCCTAGCATTCCCCAGGCTATGCTATATAGGATTGTACCCTAAACAGGTAAAATCTGGATTTGTTCTTCTGCATATTGGCCATATAGCTCAAGTTATCTAAGCTGCTGCAGCCCTCACCCCAATGCCTCCAATATTCATTTAGGACACAATTAAATGAGTATTTAGACAGAAAACAGTCCTACAACTCCCAGCATCCCCCAGAGCTATAGGACTTCTCATAGAGCGTTTTTCCTGTTAAAAATAAACTTTAGATTGCACCTTTAGCAACTCTTTGGGAAGTGCCTAAAATGGCATCTAGTGCAGCGAGATAATCATTTGGCATAAAACTTATGTTTGAAATCGCACATTTTAAACATTTTTTTGTTCCGCCCTTGAGTGAAAAGCACACCAGAACGGTGAAAAGGGGGGGCATGTCCTCCCCCCTCCGCCGCCCACCCCCCAAATACAAGTTTCCCTTGCCAGGCAGCCGCTCCACGAAGCGGCCCCACAGAGCCGGCCCCATCCTCCCCCTCACTTTCCCCCACACGGTACTCGAAGATAAATGACGGGTGAAAAGGCCACGCTTCCCATCCATGTCTAGGTACCTCTCTCCCCCTACCTGTTTGGGGTGCGGATTAATGGGGGCTTTCCTCTTACCCTTCAGGCTCGGGCCGCGCCGCTAGGCCTCGCCGTTGCCCTGACAACCGCTTGGGTGGCCGAGCCCGCTGCACGCAGCATCGCGAGATTTCGGGCGGCCGAGTCTCGGGCGGCCATTTTGTCTGCGGGCGATTGCCCATCGCCTCAACCATCTCGTTGCCGTTCTGTTGCCCTTTCTCGCGAATATTTATTTATTTCATTAGATTTATATCCCGCCTTTTTTCCTAATAAGGAATTCAAGGCTGAGTTCTCCCCAGTCTTATGCTCACAACAACAACAACAATGCTGAGGTAGGTTGGGCTGAGAGCCTGTGACTGGCCCCAGCAGGGACTCGAACCAAGATCTCCGAGTCCCAGTCCCTTAACCACTACACCGTACTCCCCCCATAGATTCCCCGCCTCAGGGACAGAAAAGTAGATGAAACAAGAAACGCTGCTGCAATCTCAGTGTCTCCCCCTCCCTCCTTTGTCGTCGTCGTCGTTGTTGTTCTTGTTTGTGCGTTTTTAACTTTTGTTAACCTCTCAGAACGCCTCAGCGATTGGGAGGTATAAAAATGAAATAAATAAATCTGCATGCCCTGTGGCCCAAGGAGAGAATAACGAAATGCCAACACTGGAGCATCTGCTAAAAAAAAGTACAATACTTATTATTTTTAGCTTTTTTCCAGATATTATACAAACCACGGTTGTTCGTCTCTGTATTTTAATACGCGTCCAAAAAGGATTTTTTACCTCCCAAAACAGGTAACTGATTGTCTACTTTTGCAAATGGTAAAAGAGGAGATAACGTGCTGCTGTGATGGCCGAGTGGTTAAGGCGTTGGACTTGAAATCCAATGGGGACTCCCTGCGTAGGTTCGAATCCTGCTCACAGCGTATCTATTTTGCGCGCATTTCGCCCAGTCCTGCCCTTCCTGCTCTTCCTCCAACTTACCTGCCTTTCGCACGTGAATGGCCAACGGATGCAAATCCTTGCGGGACGTCGCACCTCAGTTCAATGCGGATCAAGGCTGCAGGGAGCAGCTGTACGGAGAGCACCGTCGCGGGCGGTTGGGACGTGTGAACCCATCACTGCCCACCCATCGCTACCCTCACCACCAGCCCATTTTTAATCGCGCGTTGTTGGTCTGTTATAAAAGCACCTTAATGCTCATAGGTTTTGCAGAACGCCTTGGCAAGGAAAACAGCACGCGCTGCAAAGAGAGAAAGACCACGTGAGAACAGAGAAATGGCTTGACAAAACACGCTTCCCTTTTGCCCTGCGCTTGCTCGATCCGGCTAGTTTAAGGTTAAATGTCTCACTAGCAAGTCCAGACTGTTGCAAGTCCCGCGGCTTCCCGTGCGCCGCTTTGCAACGCGCGAAATTTCGCAAGGAGCATGTCAGCTCGGGGAGACACGGAAGCGGGAGGGCTGCAGCTGCGACTGAACCGGGGCCTGTTTCATCTCCGCCCTCCTCGCATCGTGCCTCCATTTCGCCCTTTCTGGTTCCTGTCGTATCTCATGTCTTGCAAAGAGTTCATTGCGTTCCCAGCCTGGTTTGAATTGGACAGTTCGGTCTCGGAAGAGGCGGGGGAAAAAACCCCCCAGCCCTCTAAGAAAGTGCAGAGTACCTCTGCAGAATTAGAAATTATTTTCCCACCGCCCCGGGAAAAGTGGCACGACCAACTCTACGCACGGGCACGTGGCTTGCGCCTTTGCTGCTGCTGGTGCTGGTGCTGCATCCCTCCTTTCCCTTCAAGAGGAACTTTTCCATTTTTCCCCCTTCCCACTTTTAAGGGTTTCCGGCCGAACACCGGCGATGCTTGGCCGGAACGAAGGAAAGAAGAGGACAATCGCTCGGGGCGGCTGGGGAGTTTTGCATCTATACATAGTGAGATTACAGAGCGAAGGACCCATTTGCCAAGTGGCGCCGTGGCTTAGTTGGTTAAAGCGCCTGTCTAGTAAACAGGAGATCCTGGGTTCGAATCCCAGCGGTGCCTTTTTTTCCCCCCCCTTTTCCTCTCCACTCCCCACTTCTGCGGTCCCACCGAAAAGACCCCAGATGACCGTGCAATTTTGCTTTCTTAACAACCTTAAAAAAAGAAAGCTCTTCTCAGATGTACGGCGAGATCTCGCTCCCCTTCAAAGGCGCGCCCAGGGCGCTTCACGTTGCTTTCTGCACGCAGCTGGCTGGGTGCGAGTCGCAAGGCCCGCGCTGAGGAGCTGGGGGCGCGGGGAGCGAAGCCCCGGTTCTTTCTGCGGCGCGGGGGCGTCGTCCTCTGCCAGCAAGGCGCCCGCCGCGCGGTGTCCGATTTCTGCAGGTCCCCGGCCATAAACTCGCCGCTGCGGCCTCGCAATGGCATTTAAAGAGTGGCGCGACGGGGACAAGGGCGGGGGGAGCGGCATCCCTTTGCTTGCGATGCACTGCTTGTCTCGCTTTTCTCAGGGGAGGAAAGAATGTGCTACTGGGGCTCGGGGTGGCGGAAAATACCCGAGGAAAAGGTGAGCAGCGGGGGACAAAAACGGGGAAAAGGAAGGGTTGCATTGGCCGGGAATCGAACCCGGGCCTCCCGCGTGGCAGGCGAGAATTCTACCACTGAACCACCAATGCTTCCATGCAAGCTGCTTCTGCTGGAAAGTCTCATAAGGTGCCGGCAATCGTTCAGCAACGACTTCTCCGTTACTATTTCCGGTGTTCCCCTCTTTTGAGTTTTCCCAAGAATGCACCCTCCGCCTGTTTCGGGGCATTCTGCAAGCACGTTCTCTCTCCTCATCAGGCCGGTCTCTGTTTGCCTTACAAGAATGTCCAGGGGTTCCTTTGCTTTTGCAACAAGAAACTAATCCAGGGTCCTTCTTTCCCCTTTGAACCTACCACCCTGCCTCGGGCCAGGTCAAAACCTTGTAGTTGGAAGATGAATAAAATATTTTTAATTCTTTAAGTGCGTCTTGCATTAATAAAACGTTTCTATTTCTTCTGTGCACCCCCCACCCCCAGTTCAGCAAAATAAGCCCATCACTTGGTATGGTGTATTTCTGCACAGGTTATCAGCAAGTGGTGATAAGAAAGACATAACCAAGAAAGGTCCATGCCTGCAGCCTTCCCCAACCTGGTGTGCTCTCCAGATGGCTTGGACTGTTCTAAGCCATGCGCCATGCCAGTTGGGGGAGATAGGTGCTGAAATTCCAGCCTTCCAGAGGGCAGCAGGCTGGCAAAAGCTGCCGGCTGGCTAACAATATGCACACACAACTTGGCCTGATGGATGGATAACTAAGCTGTGATGAGAGTATTATGTAATTCCTAAATGTGAGCACAAAGTGTGGAGATTTTGCCCCTGGTCATTTCCCACCGTTATATCCCTTCTTTTCTGCAACCCTGAACTGTCAGCAGCTGCACACGTGAGCCTTTGAAAAGCCTCTTGCTTGCGACTATACGAAAAGCCAGTACTGCGTTCTTCATTTGCACCATTGGCGAGTGGTTGGCAGGCGGTTTTAAATGTGAAACAAAACACACACGAAACAAGGCAACTTTTGCACACGTCTTTTGTTAGTGTTAAGCCCTGAGCTGTTTATTTCAAACCCAACCAGGATCCAGAAGCATTCTGCCATGGGTTTCTTAAAAACAAAACAAAGTCCTAGGAAATAGACCTACATCAGAGGGCAAGAAAATCACAGAAAGATCAGAACATGCATGCCCACCCACCTTCCCCACCACACACACACCCCATTGCTGGATTAGGCTTCTCCGTGCTTAACGGTTCCACATTTATAGTCGCATTTCATTTCATTCCATTAGGCCTAATGACATCATGCCAAAGGAAGACGCTTTTTAAAAGAAAAAGAATTCAGTCTCTCTTGCTTGCTCTCTCTCTTTTGTTCACCAAGAAGTATAGGATAAAAAAATAAATTCCACCACCACCCCAGAAAAGAGACCCCAAATCTCTGGCAACATAAATCCCATTACTATACAATATAGAGAGAATTTAATATACATTTACAAGGACATTGTGGGAGGGAAGGGGGAGGCTTCAAGGCCAAGGTCTCCAGACGTTCAGGGCCTGCGGAGTTTGTGCCACGGAGTTCTGTGTCCCCGAGAGTTTACTCTGTTGAGGTCTGCTGAGGCCATCTGGCTGGGCTGGGCTGGTGACATGGGCTGGCAGTCCTGACCTGGGGGCAGGGGGGTGCAGGACATACGCGGCACCCCCGAGCGGCGGGCTGCAGCCAGCAAGGGCATCCGGGCTGCAGGGCGGTGGCAGGTCGTAGCTGGGGCTGGCGGCTGCCGGAGGGGGGCGGTGGCGGAGCGGCCCGCATGGATTTGTAGTTATTTTCCCCATGCGGTGGCAAAGGTGCTCCATGAGGTGGGCTTTTTTGCCTGTGTGATTGCCCGGGCTGGCTCGGAGGAAGTGGGCTGCTTGGGTTAGGCACTCCCAGTAGCCCCTGTGGTACCTTTGCAGCAGGGCGTCTTCCTTGTGCTTAGTCTCTGTGGTGCATTCAACGACAAGGCCCCAAAAGCAAAACACACAAAAACAAAGAGAGAAAACAGCAATTTAGAGTTCCAGTTGGCAACTTGGGCACATACCTGTCTCAGGATACAGAAGTCTCAAAGCAGCGGCTGCCTCCTCCTCCAGCCCTGAAAACGGATGTCAATGGGAGGTTGAGAAATCCATGAGAACACTATCACAATTTATCTTTGCATTGCTTTCCGACTGGTTTTCCCCGTTCTTGGTGTAATGTGTGTGTTTTCCTGGCAGGGCAACTGTGCTTTGTACCGCAGCTATGGGAAGAAGCAGAAATTCAGTGCACGGCTCCCCACTGCATCCCAGCTCACCGCACTGAGGTTGAGACGCTGCCGGAACGGAAGGGGAGACCAACGGTTAGTGCCAGTGCATGCCTCGTCAGCCTTCCCCAATCCAGCCTCCTCCAGGCTGGGGGCTGCTCGAAAATGGCAGTCCGGCGCAGCCGGAGGCCACCAGGTTTGGGAAGTCTGACCTAAGACCCCTGTGGGCAGGTTCCAGCTCTCCAGGAAATTCAGCGGCCCCCACCCCTTCCCCCAAAAGGCACCCCAGCTCTAATTTCACTTACCCCACAATGCAAACCATTTGAGGTGGCATTTAAGGAAACCTGGTTTGTGGGAGGGAAAGGGTTGGTGGGACAGGGAAGGAAGGGAAGGGAAGAGAATAAAATACACAGGTGAGCACTCGCGGGTGAACATAAAGATGGGCGGCAGCAAGGGGAGGGGAAAGGGGGACCGGACCCATCGCTCTGAGAGGGCTGCGTCTCCTTGTCCCGGTCCCTAATGGCTGCATGGCAGGGCAGCGTGTTCCTACATCTCCAGGCCAGGAGAAAACATAGCGCCTCTTGCTGAATTGCTATCTGTTTTGCAGCTGTTAAATAAACCAGGGGCCCTAACTAGAACAAGACAACTTTTTCCAGAAATTCCTGCAAAAGGCATTTAAGCACAACATAAATTATGTAGGGAAGTAATTTCACTTCTGTCTCAAAAGGAAGATTCAGTCCACACAGGGGGAAAATGTAGATGGGGTTGTTCTTATTGGTATTAATTTGGTAATTAAAGCAGCAACGGATAGGTTGCCTGGGGACTGTGTATATTCTCTCTCACATACACGCACACACATACACAACCAGTCCAACATCCTGTCATTCATATATTCAGGGCTGAATTGAGCCAGAGTAATGGCCATCAGGCACCAACGAAATCAATGGGTTTTTAGTCAGGAGCCATGTGCCCCATTACTTTCAATGGGACCTGAGTGCACAGATTAGACGCAGCTCAGTCCTACTGTGTGTCGACTCCAAAGCTCAGAAGAACTGAATAGGTCTCCCTCTCAGACAAATGTACATGTCTTCACATCCTCTGCAGGCTGGGGATGATGTGAGTTGTGGTCCAACACATCCCTGCCCTAGACCCTGTTGAGGGCTGAGGGCTTCCCCATTCATAGCAAAGCAAAAAGCTTTAACCGGGCCCTTCACAGCTTCTCAGTAGGGAGATGAACTCAACAGGTGAAGCACTGATTCACCTGTTGATTTCTACCTGTCTTTTAGCTTCTCCCTACACCAGGGAGGAACACTGTGAGCAGAGAGCATCGCGTCTGTTTCGGAGAACCTGTCTCCTGGCAAGAAGCATGGGATCCAGTCATGGAAGTATCAAGAAACGCAAGTGGGGGAACAGAAAGGCTGGGAGGCGCAACACTGCCACCCCCATGAGGCCAACACAAAAATTGTCTCATGGGATCCGACCAAAGGTCTGTCAAGCCTAAGAGCACAATGGAAAGAGCACACTGTTTCTCCACGAGACTCAAAGGCAGAGTGCCCCTGAGCACGGAGGTTCCATCAGTTGTGGTACGCATCACAAGGCACGTTTAAAAGGCCCGGGATTTTTGCTTGCCTGGAAGCAAAGAAGAGATTTTGCAGGCAAGAGCAGTCCTGAACGAGGGCAGCCGGAGCGGAGCGGAGCAGCATGCCCAACCGTCACTGGGGCAGGACCAACCCATATATAGGAAAGTGACCACAAGACCCCCCGGAGAAGACAGTCATGCCAGGGAAAGGCAAAGGCAGAGGACGGAGCGGAAGGCCAGATATGGAAGGGGCCCACTCCATAAAGGAAGCCCAGTCCTGAACTTGGGAGAGCAGAAAGGAGCGTGGGGGGTGGGGCATTCTGGGGGTCTCCCCAAGTGCAAAAAGCTTCCCCACCCCACCCTCACACCTCCCCTTTGCTTCTCTCCAAAGTTTGTTCGCTTTTTTTTTTACGAGAAAGAAAGAGAGAAAGAGAGAAAAGGATACCAAAAACCGTATACCTGATAAAGGCTGCGTCTTCAAAAACTGAACGGTTTTTTGTAAAATTTCTGCCTTTTCAACTTTGGGGTTTTTCAGCCTCTGCGGAGAAAAAGACAAGACAAAAGAAGAGGGGGAGAGAGAAACGGGGGGAGGAGGAATGAAAATAAAATATTCTCTGTATGATGCGCGTTCGGGGAGGAGGGGAAGGGGCGGACGGCGGGCTGGGAAGAGGCGCTTACCTCGTCCTGCGTGGCCTCGAAGAGCAGGACGCGCAGGCGGTCCAGACTCTGGTTCATCCTGTCCCTCCGCCGCTTCTCCATCAAGGGCTTCAGCAGCTGGGGAAGAGACGCAACGCCAGGTGGAGAGGGGTGGGGAGGCAGCGCGCGGGGCGGGCGCAGCCCCGAGGGGCGCGCGGGGCAGCCGGCGAGGGGGCGAGGGGGCGGGCGAGCGAGCTCCGCGCCCGGCTGGGCTGGGCTGGGCGGACTGGGCTAGACTGGGCTGGGCTGGGCTGGGCGGACTGGACTGGGCTGGGCTAGATTGGGCTGGACTGGGCTGGACTGGGCTGGGCGGACTGGGCTGCCCCCGCGCCAGGCTCCCGGGCTCCCGGCGCGTTACCTTCTTCTCCTCCTTGCCTTCCCACTTGGGGCTTGTCATCCTCATCACTGGCGGGCCGAGGGCGGAGGCAGGCCGGGGCGCTCGCTCTTCTCCGGGCCGGGACAGCGCTTCTCGCGCCCGCGCACGGGCCCCGCGGCGCTTTATACCCGCGCCCCCCCCCCCCCCCCCCCCGGGGCAGGCCGCGCCGCGCCGCCCCCGGGCTTTGATCCCCCGCCCCGGCCCGGGGCTCGGAGCGTGGCTCGCACGCCCGCCCGCCCCCGCCCTTGCGCCGGCCGGGGGGGCGGCCCGCCTCCGGTGCCCGCGCCCCGCCCCAGCGCTCGGCCCGCCGTGCTGGCTGGGGTTGATGGGGCTTGCCGCCCGCGCAGTGGCGCGCCCTGGGTGGGGACGGCGGCCCCAGGGGATGGGGCGGCGCAGACCGGAGACCCTCCCGGCGACTCTTCCAGCAGCCGCCGGCCCGTCGGTGGGCTCGGTACCCTGAGTCGCCTCTCAGCAGCCTTCCCTTCCAGCAGCACGTCCCATCATTCCCAGGCCAGCAGGAGCACTGTGGCAGCTGGGGCTGATCGGAGTTGTGTTGCCTCCTACCTGGAGAGTGCCAGGCTGGGGAAGGCAGTTTGGCCTAACACGTCTGCCCAACGTTGGTTGCATATCGTCCAATGCCGCATCAGGGTTCTAGTCCCCATTGTCCGCAGGGCAACTTCACTGACTTTGAGAGCCTCTCCTACCTCACCGGGCCGTTGTGAGGAGAGCGGAGGAGAGCCTTGTATGCTGCCTTGGCTTCCTTCAAGAGGAGAGAAGGCGTGATAGAAACACAACGCAAAATTAACAATGAACCTTCCATTCTCTGCATTCATTGTCCATTGCTTTCTCCAAAAAGGCCTTGGACGGCAGCCACAAAGCAGAGAGCCTTCCCGGTGGTGGCCCCCCATTCTAGAATGATCTCCCAGACGAGTCCCACATGGCACCAGCATTGTTCTGAGCACCAGGTTAATGGTTCTTGTTTGCTCTGGCATTTGATGGCCTGTGCCCCCCCCACACACACTTATAAAACGATACCTGGTGGGAGAAAGAGGGCAGAGGCAACATTTTTCTCCCTCGAGCACAAGCTGAGAGGCCCTGCGAAAGTGATTCTTTGATACCTGTGAAAGAGGGTCTTTTGTCACACACTGTATATTAAAATGTGTGGAAGTCACTGCCCCGAGATGCAGTCACAAGGGTGGGGGGGGGGGGGTTCCAGCTGCACTCTGGCCCAGCTTTGTAAAGGCAGAGCCTCTTTCTGAAATAGTGGCTAACCTGCAAGTCAGCCCAAGGTAACTCCCTCCTCCTCCCTTTTATCCTCACAACAACCTTGTGAGGTAGGCTGAGGGTCTGTGACTGGCCCAAAATCACCCAGGGAGCTTCATGACCTGGTGGGGACCATAACCCCGATCTTCTGAGTCCCAGCCCAGTCCTCTAACCACTAACCCATACTGCCCCCTTAGGTTGCCTTTTCCCCATGTTTTACTGAGTCAAATGAGTGTACCTCATGGTCAAACATTTGCAAGCTTCTTGTAGGACTACATAATCCATGACGCAGCATGCCTGGAATACATCTGGACAGAGTGATGACTGCAGAACCCGTAACATGTGGCAGAAAAATGCAGGGCCTTTAACTGAAGGGAGCAAAGGAATGAAATGTGTGGAGAGCGGCCAGGCACATCAAGTAAGGGATTGTTTAGATGGCACACACAGCAAGACCCAAAACCAGAACTGCACCCCCAAGCTTGGACAGCCCCAAGTTCAGCATTTCTGCGCTGTTGTTGCTGCTGTTTCATTTCTACACCCTCCCACAGTGGAAGTTCTCTGGGTGGCATACACGGACTTTTGTAACATTTCAAATGTCTCTCTAACTCAGATAATAACGAGGCAGGAACTTCGTGCATATTTGCAAATTTTTAAACGAATATCATTCCTGGTTTCTTGTTCTTCTGGCTCTTATCACCATGCCATGAAAATGTTCACCTGCTGATATTTGCAGAAAGCAGGACACCCCCCCCCCACACCCCAGCGCAGTCCCTTGGCAAAGCTCCCTTAGGACAAAGAAACTGGGATGAGGGGAAGAGAACAAAGCCAGAAGGGTCTTTGCAGCAAGGCTAACTTAAGCCCCCCCTCCACCCCCCGCACAATGCAACGGGCATCCAAAGTGCCGAAGTCAGTTTAGATCAATGAAGCAATGCCCGACCTGCTTTTTTAATTTAGCTAACCTCCAGAGGAAAGTTCATTCACTTACTAATATCCAGGCCTCAATTACTGAAGGGATTATGCAGGGACAATGTCTAATTTCTAGAGGCCCCCTTCCCCTCATCTGGGTAACAAAGACCCCATCAAATCCCCCTCGTCCTTGCATATTTTATTCCTTCCCTCCAAACCAGCATCAAAGGGATGAGCTGGGAGGTGGCGGGGGGGGGGGGGGGGGGCCTTTTCTCTGGCACTGAACCCCGCCAAAGTCACTCAGGAAAAAGCCTTTCCCAAGCTGGCCCGGTCTTTGCTTGGGCCAGTTGTGGATGATGGGCATTGTAGCCAAGACATCTCAGGAATGCCAAGTCGGGGGAGGCTATCTCTTCCAATAGGCTCACCAATGGTGAGCTTGTCTTCATGGAAATTCGGCCCGGAAAGGCCCGTATGCCGTAAGGTCCAACTTTTCCCAGTGGGTGGATGAGAGTGAGCTCAGACAGAGCCACGGCATCACCAGCGTTTCTGGATTTCGGGGAATGAGCCACAACGAAAGCACACTCGTTATCGTTCCTGCCTCTGCAGAGATGGGGAATCCCTCCAGATGTTGTCGTATGGCGATGCCCAGCAGCTCAAGCCAGCATAACAAACGGCGGGAGAGGGTGGAATTGCAGTGCAACATCTGGACTGCCACACCTTCCTCATCCCCTTGGCGTAAGACCCCGCAGGGCAGGCCATCACTCGCAGGGATGGGCACCTTGTGGTTCTCAGGATATTTTGTTCTGAGCTTCCCAACATTCATATATTTATTTTACTCCTATGCTGCCTTTTCCCTGCAAAGGCAGCTTAGATATCCTTGCAACAGCAGCCCTGTGAGGTAGGTTGGGCTGAAAGTCAGTGACTGGCTTCACGGGCAAGTGGGGAATAGAACCCAGATCTCCCAACACTAACTGCACTGCCTCAGTGTCAGTCATGCTGGCTGGGGCTGATGGGAGCTGAAGGCCAAAACATCTGGAAGGCCCCAAGGGCCCTGTCAAGATTTCAGACAACGAAACAATCAACCATCAGGAAGCGAGTATGGATGGAACAGAAGATAGGAAGTTATTGCGGATTAACTGATACCATGAGCTAGCAGTGTAATCTTATTCGGTGGCAGAAAGCCTATCAAAGTTACTAGTCCTGATGGCTATGCATGACCTCCAGTGTCAGAAGTATGCAAACCGGAGTGCATGGGCCCTCTTGGATGTAGCCAGATGTGCCACAAACTCGGCAGCAATTGACATCCACCCCAAAGTGCCATTTCATGTTGTGTCAACCTGGAAACTCTGGGTTGTCTATCAAACAGCCCAGAGTTAACCCAGCTATGCACCATTTCCTAAGCCATAAGCAATCCAGAGTTTCTGGGCTGGCAACCCATGACACAGTCCGGGAGTCACCACTGAATCAGCAAGCGTTCAGCTCATGCGCTCTGCTCGTCTCTGCAGTTATGGCGATTTATTTATTTATTATTTATTTAGAATTGTTGTATGCCGTACCATCGCTTGAGCCTCAGGACGGCTTACATACGATAAATAAACAGAATACAAATAGTGCACATAAAATCCAGATTCACCCTGGCTGCAAATTAAAACCTATCGATGATATTAAAAATTGTTAAAATATTCTTTAAATAGAAAGAACTTAGTCTGGCGCTGAAAAACAAATCACGGTGGCGCCAGGCAGACCTCTCTGGGGATTATGACTTCCAAGCCCGATCAGGTCAGAGAGACAGAGATGCAATTTGAACCCAAGATCCTGAACAAAGTGAACCTGTACAGAATTCAGAACTGGCTCATTGAACTCACTGCTTGCATTTGGATGCCTTGCAGTTTCGGCCTTTGGGAAGGAATACAAGTCAGCTGAAAAAAATTCCTTCCAGGCTTTCTTGATGCTTTTTGAAAGGCCATGTCTAAAACCATCTTGTTGAGAAAGCCACCTTTGCATTTAGGGATATTCCTCCCTTAAATCACTAATTCACAGTAGTGCCCGTACATAGATATTTTGTGTACTACTCATACACAATTATTTCTCCAGCTCTATTTTTCATCCTTTCCTCTGCAGCTTCCCAATGTCAATTTTATATTGTAAGCTCTGTGGGGCAGGGATTTGTCCCTTTGTGCAAGCCCTCGTGAGCATTGATTGGCCTTTAACAGGGGCGCTCTGGTTGTGTCTGGCTGCATTCGGATGGCCCAGAGAAAGGACAAGGGACATGCTGAATTTCACAGGGCTATTCCGGGGAGGGCATCCGTCCCTCCATTTCGGGGAATGCTGCATTCTTCGCCAAACGGCCGATCTGACGTCTCTAGAGTAAGCACCACCGTGTGACACTTTAAATGATCAGGGCCTCACTGAACATCAGGCATTTAAATGGGCTTTTATTGTGGCCCTAAGATGGTACATCTTGTGGGAAAGTGCCACCAACAATGACTCTCACTGCCATAAAAGCGGAGGTGTCAGAACTGACAGATTCCCCCCACCCCCGGCATCTCCTCACCCCTGCCACCACTCCCCATAAGTGTGGGGGGAAGTGGGAAACACCCGTTGCCAGGAAAAGATGAGAACTTTCCCACCAGCAAAGAAGATCGAGGCTCTGCTCCCCAGCCGTGACTCTGGGGGTGGGGGAAGAGGCCAGGGCGACTTATTTTATATTGTTAATTTGTTTTATATTTTTAATGTATTATATTTTAATGTATGTTGTGAGCCGCCCCGAGGCTTCGCCGAATGGGGCGGCATAGAAATGTTTTAAATAAATAAATAAATAAATAAACAAATAAATCTCATTTTGTAAAAATTGAGGA